CTTAGTGTGACCTCAGAATTCAGCCAGTTATGGCTTATTCAGCTAACTACAGCCAGGTTTACATTAATGTATGAACACAATAGCACAAACATTTTTGTTTCAGCTGGCTTGTAAGTATGGTGACCATATTTTCTTGAAAAAGGTAAAGGACAAACCCGAAAAAGGGGCAAATCTTAAAGAGGTTCATAAGGATAAAACATTTTAATTGTTTATGTTTGTAACTTTGCTTTACAAAGGAAAATTCAAGAGCAAAAGAAAAATTTACAAAAATGTGTATTCTAATAAAAATATCTAAAATCAAACAGTATAAGTAAATTTATTTTAAAATGACAATTCAGTTTCCTTAGACTGTGAAAGACTGGGCATTAAATGGTACCATTTGTAAGGTAAAAGTTAAATGACCAAAATAAAGGTCAAAAGTGAGTTTTTGAAAACTAAATAAATCTAAAGGACAGCTTTCTGAAATAAAGGAGTGTCCTTTATAATAAAGGACATATGGTCACTGTACTTATAAGACATGAATGGTGTTTATCCCAAAGATAATTTAAGTTTTTCCAAACAGTTTTCTGCTTATTAATGTAGGTTGTAGTATGATCTAGAAAAATTGAACACAATAAGAGTTTTAGATAGAGTTATAGATATTCCTCCCTTACGCACATACCTAAGCCTCCTTCGTGGTTTCAGTCACAGAAAGAAGAGGGTGGGTATGCTAGCTAGCTTTCCTTCCTTCATTCCACTTGAGGTGGGGGGTCAGGGGCTGTAGTGATGAACTCGCCATACTTGTGTGGTCTTTGTATGCAAAGACTCAATAGCATGCAAGAAACCTTTCCAACAAGGGTGGACAGGCTGCAGCCCCTGAACCCATTTCATTACTTTGGAAAGGAGAACGCACAATAATTGTGGAATGAGCGGTACAAATAGCTTTTAACATATACACCCCAACTGCAATGCGAATAAAATCATGTTGGTGATTGGAAGGCTAAATAAGGCCTTTGTGTTTCTGGAGTCATTAATCCCCATTAATTATATATTTTTCATGTGAACTGTAGGTTAAAGATCTAATAGATCCAAACACCAAACCTAAGAATCCTACCACTTCAGAGAATATGCCATCCATGGGGAACTAATTATTGCTATTTGGATATCCACATAACCCCAATATCAAGCTATTTTGTATTTGGACTATCCAGTTTCCATTTTCCTCAAATAGAGGTTTGCCACACACAACAGGTGTTGCTTATTATGTGTTGTTAATCTTCTATTAGCTGTATCTTTGCTTTTATAATGACAATTTGGATGCAAAATCAAGTCAGCCAATGTACAGGCAGAGCCAGGATTATGAAATATCGAGGAGAGAATAGAGCCATTGCCATAGCAACTGCAAAAAGATAGGAATGGTTATCAGTGGGTAAGTGAAATTTCATAGATTGGGACAGTATCAAAACTTAGGCAAGCATTTTGGTTCTATCAAGTGTTATTTCTAGTCAAAATGAAGATATATTTTATATCTATCTATCTATCTATCTATCTATCTATCTATCTATCTATCTATCTATCTATCTATCTATCTCCTCCTTGGTGTAATAGTATTAGGGCAGCTAATGGTTGGACTGCTTGGGTAAAGTGACCACATTAAATCAGGGCAGCCACTTCATTTGATTAGAGGCTGCATTTTAATTTGGTTTTGAAGTAGAAAGGGGCAGAGAGGCAACACAGATTTAACAGGAGGGTGGTGGGAGGAATCTAGGATTCTGAGGGGGCTTAATGACGTGTCTTATTTTGTATAATAAAATACCTAAAAAAAAAATTCACGCCACTTACAGAACACATTTAAGGAATCACAAAATGATACCCATCATTTGTTTTTGTTAGCCCCTCCATGCTTCCTCTTTCACTTTTTAAAAATATCGCTTTTGTGATTCACAATAGTTGTAATTTTTAATAATTAAATGTGTCTCCCATCCTTTTGTGTGAAAAACATCACCAGCAGCTCTTTCTGCAGTGTAAGTTAGTCACTGGAGGCTGACTTGCTGGCATAGAGTTCTCTGGCTGTGGAAGCCAGAATGAGTGTTGGACTTGGGCATTTACGTTAAGAGGTCAGGATAAAAGATGTGGAGGATATAAGACTTTATTCTTCAGACTTCACAAGGAGCTTTAACACTTAAAGTGACACATATATTCCAGATTACAAGGAAAAATATCCATAGGAAGTAGGAAACTCCATAGGACATCCATAGGAAGTCCAGAAACTCTTTGATAATTAAACACTGTCATAAGCAGTTCAATAGATACATTTTCCTCAAAATGCAAAGCAGCATATTCTACTGGAAAACTGTCCCCCCCCACCCCAATTTTTCATATCTATTGATATATTTATAAACCTAACTTGTATACAATGGATGGGTCTTATTTACTAGTGAAGCATTTCTCTTGAGAACAGGCGGCTTGTTTTGAGACATTAGTTTATCTGAAATCGCTAACAAGACAGCATTACACATGGTTATCATAATAGAATTTTTTATTGGCAATCACATTACACTCCCCCTGGCAAAAAGAAAAAAGAAAATCTATGAAAATAAAGATATGAAAACCTTCAAATTAAATCAGTTGGTTTCAAAAGACACCAAGAAATCAAAATATAAAGGAATGTTCAAAATCCATGGAATTCCTGCAGAAGAAATTTGGTTTCAGCTTTACCAAGAGCAGCAGACACAATATTTTAACTGTTGACTATATGGCATACAGATCGATCTTAGAACATACAAGACAGGATCCAGAATTTACCAGCAGTAGCATTCCTTGAACAGACTATTGCTCATGACATTTGCATCATTTGCAAAGATACGAAGAGAAGCAATTTTCATCAATTCCCTTCCCTATCAGTCCCAGTTATTCCACCCAAACTATTCTAAAGGCTCCCAATCTTTCTGGAGCAGATTTAAAGAGGTTGCAAGGGTAAATCAACAAAAATGATCTCTCAATCCATTAGCAAGTTCCTTCTTTTGGATCAGATGCCTTCTGTGAAAGAATTTCACTCTTGGGAGGCAAACTCTGGATCCTATCTGTATAGGTACTAGAAATTATACCACTAAAAACTGAGAAGTTATCAGTTTCCTAGAGAAATAAATCACTTTAAATTGGACTGTTTTGACAAACCTCAGAATGTATACAATTACCATTATTGCAAAAGGCCATATTATTACTATGAACTAAAGCAAAAGTTTGTTAATTTAGGCATGATTGTACAGTTTAAGACTTTTAAAGTCATAAAACAAAAACTACTAGAAAGATACATTAGATTCAATAATTATTAGGCATGTTTAGGGCAGGACTGCAGATCCCCTTTGTGACCAAGTTCTCCAAAAGGGGTGGCCAAATTTTCAGTGCAGTTTTTTAAAATTAAGTTTTGGCAGCCAAGAATTGGATGTGGGCAGCGTTGTAGTGTAATAAAAAACCACTACAGGGGAGGAAAATTTGCAGAGTTGTATTTTTAACATTTTAAAAGTATGCTAGGTATTTCTCAGTATACTGAACAAATCTTTTGTCATTCGGTTGTTTTCTGTAGGGCAGAGAAAGATTCAGGTAATATATGCAAAATATAGGTTCCATTCCTATTCAGTTACAATCCTTTCTAATCCAATGCCTTCTAGATGTGCTGGATTACAACACCCACATATCAAAGACTATAGGAATTCAACTAAGTATCTGGAGGGAACTGGGTTGGGGAAGAGGGTTACACTATAATCATTTCATCAGTGCTTATTTTACTATTTAACATTTATTTATTACTTAATTTATAGACTGTCTTAAACAACTTTGGGTGGCCTATAAATAAAGTAAAAATTTTAAAATGTTGTTATACAGTGAAAAAGTAAACACTGATGAAATGGTTATGGTGTTACTGGTATAATATGTTGAATAATTTTGGGAGGGGCAGAGAACTATCATCAACCTATAAGCCATATAATTCTGTAATAATTATAAAATTAAAATAGCAGTTACAGAAATGTTCTGCACTTAAAATTCCAGTTAAATGAAAGTATTCAAAAGTATACACTTATTGCATAAATTTATTCATTTTCACTTCCTTATGCTCCCGCTTTTTAATAATACAGATGACACTATCCTATTACTGAAGGAGAGGAACTATATAACGTATAGAGGGCCTTCAACATTTGAATATGATATATATATTAAAGATTGGAGCTGTGGCGAAATTTGTTTAATAAATACACAGATCAGTTGAATAGAGTACAAAATATATGAGCCCAAAAGCAATTCTCCAGTTATTTGTTTTAAAGAAACCTTAAAAAATTAACTGGAATCACACTGAACTACAATTTATTGCGCAAGCTTATACATCTCTTGACTGAAGTCCATTAAGCTCAATGGGACTTAAGGTTCATACAGCAAAAGGCAGCAACCTGATGCCCTACAGATAATCTGGACTACAACTTCCACACTTTTTATTTGCTTTGTTCAGTGGGATTGACAGCAGCTGAAGTCTGAAATACCCAGAAGGTATCAGACTGCTCACCTTTTCAATGGTTTTTATAGGACTGCAGTCTTAAATAATTGAAATTGTAAACAAAAGCTTTATTTAGGTGAAAATGTTAAACCCACAAGGCTTCAAGAACTTAAAATGCTTGATGCAAAGAAACCAAATTGACTACATAACCATGAACACTGAGTTTGTACAATAGTATTTTAAAGAGAGGCACATGATATTGTAATGCACATGACAAGTTTCTGCCAGCCTTCAAATGTCTGCTTCTTTGCCAGCAAATGATTATTTTTAGTCTTTTATTTGTTTTATAAACTTATTTTTCTACATTCATAGTGTTCAGAGCACCATTAGGTCACATTTGCTGCAGGAGATCAGAATGTGGCCATTACTGTCAAATAAAAGGTACAGATTCTTTTAGTTGCTAACCCCCACATTGCCCTGTTTCTTAAAAAACAAAACACTTGTATGGACACATAAAAAGTAACAACACTTATACAAAAAAATAAGGCACATTTATTTTGATAAGGTTAAATTGAAATAGAAAACACATTTCAGAGAGCATTAGTATCCAAGTATTCGGTAAAAAAAAACTTGTACTCAGACTTCCATCTTCCTTTTTCTGTATAGTGGAGTAATTGCACGTATCCCAATGTGTCAAGTAACAAAACAGATTTAAAATATTTTCCAAGAAAGATGTATAATTCCAGAATTTTAAGTTCTGCAGTTCAAGATGGTTGGCTAATATAATTAAAATCTTCCACATTTCTCAAAGGTTCTTGGATTTCACTCTAGAGTTAGATAGAGTGGGATAAATGCAGACTCCATGTGGAAAAGCTGAAATAGTCATTTATAGAAGTCTTTACAAGTATTTGGACAATAGCTTCACCAGAGAATTTTCAGGTTCAATCTCATACTGTGATTTCAACAATGTATGTATTTAAGAGCCAGCTAGGGATCAGAAAACAATTTAAATTCAGTGTTAGCTCCCTTTCAGATACAAATTATGAACTTAGAAGTCATAAACTAATATTTAACCTGAGATTCACTTTGTTGATGAGAGATAATATCCTTTGTTTCTCCCTCAGTTCTTGTATTCATGTATACTGGTGTTGGCATTTTATTAGAGAATAAGAAAAATTCTTTGCATCATGGCTTTTATGGCATTTAAGATCAAATAGATTCTAAAATGAATGTACTGTCACAGTATCAAGAAGCTGGAATAAAAATGTGCTTCTTATTGCACATCAATCTTTGAGAAGACACAGAGTTATAGATTTTCCTTAGTATCCAAGTCCAAAAGCCAAGTTTCATCTTAACTGAATTCTGTATGTGTTAATTTCCATAGGACTCATACTAATTTCACTGATATTTCTGGCATCTGAAGATGAATACATCAAAGACAGGGAAGTAGGTATTAGACTTTCCACATGGAACTTGTTAAAGAGTTTGTGCACCCTTAGCTGAAAATTGAAAAAGACAAAAATTTAATTACTATCAGCATCCTATACAATGCAAATTTTATTTCATTCTTTAAGAATATTCTTCCAAAGTCTCTAAACTGCATGCAGAGCCTCCCTGGATAGAAGAAACTCTCTACTTCAGGCCCTTGAAACAGGGCTAGTGAACTTATGCATGCTTCCCTAAAAGCAAATATACAGTTTGCCAAATAGTAATCAAGACACAAAATGCCCATCTATTATCCAGCCTGGACAGAAAACACCCTGAACTTGGAATATGGTCCCCAACTCTATGCCACACAAGCAGACATACACTTTCCCGTTGGTAGTCAGGCTGGACATGGAAAGGGAGTTCCTCAGTGTGGTTAGTCTGAAAGCAACTGATCTAAATCTAAGGTACATTAGTGAATCGGTGGCACCCAATGGCATTATAAACTAAGTAATTTAAGTCTCCATACCAGTAAGCTTTTTCAGGGGGCAGAAACTTACTTTTCCCAGTTTTGTAATCCTAGCCAAATTAGAGCCTAACTTTCATAAAAACTGCCACACTTAGTTACCTCACAAAGATTTTTTTTGTTTTGTTTTCATTTCAGGCTAGTTAACTGCCAGATTTTGCATTTTAACTGAGTGCCATTTGCACCTTTATCCATGCACAACACAAAGGTACCAACACAATCCTGAACTAAACCTAGTAAAGCCTGATCCTAGAAAGTCCACTGTATCTCAGTGACTAAGTGCTGATTTTATAATTTTAAAATGAAGCATTTTTTCTGTTCCTCTATCCTCACAGGTATACTTAAGATTGAGAACTAACTTGAGATCTAATTAGAGAATTAAAAAACTCTGCTCTTTGGATTTTGACATTTAAGCTGATACTAATACAGAAGGAAAGAATTAGAATGTTTTAAATTGAAAATAAATCTTACTGTCTAACCATAGGTTTTATACTACAATTGACAATAATGATGTCCCTAATTGTGTCAAAAATATTGTTATCCTCTAGCCTGTCTAATCAAGCAGAGGAATCTATCCACAGAGTTACTGACCCTACATAAAACAAAGATATGCAGAACCTGCAGTCTATATTTCAGCCCAATTCAATTTCTGGGAAAGATTTGAAATTGTCAGAAAAAAAATCTTACATAGGTTTCCTGGGCTTCTTTTTAGGCACCTCCTTGAACCTCACTGTTGTCAAACTAATCTTAGAGAGTGAAATATATACACCATGTGCACAATTATTAGGCAAGTGAGTATTTTGACCATATCATCATTTTTATGCATATTTTCCACCTCCAAGCT